ATACGAAGTTATACGACGTGCAGCGCGGGTGCAGCGGGGACATTGGCGGCGGCGCGGGACCAGCGCGTGGCGGCACGCGCGGCGGGGACGAGGGGATGGTGGGCAGGGTGGGGGAGGCGGGGAGGGGGGCGACGGCCCTCGCCCTCCTGCCCCCGGAACGCGGGCCCCCGACCGATGGCCCCGCCCCCGGTGTGTGGACCGGGGCCCGCTGCAGCGCCGTCTGGGCCTCGGCCAGGGAGGTGACGGAGCGGAGGCAGGCCGGCGGCGGGATCGTGCCGGCGGGGGCGCCATCCCCGGGGTCACACAGCTCCAGGCAGGCCAGGTGGAAGTTGAGGCGCAGCGTCACGTGCCTGCCGTCGGGCGCGCTCAGCCTCACGCCCTGCAGGGCGCAGTGAGCGGTGCACGGTGAGAGGGGAGGCCTGGTGCAGGCTTTGGGGGCAGGAGTGCGTCGCATGCACCTGGGGCGCCAACGGCAGGACCAGACCCTGGAGTGCCACGCCCACCCTGAGAGCGCCGAGACCAGCGGACCTGGGGCAGGGGGGTGCAGGCGAGGCGAGGCTCCGCTCCACCTGCTCCGGGGCTGCGCTGCTCTCCCGCCCCACGCTCCCACTCGCGCTGCAGCTCCCGGTCCATGGTCTCCAGCCGCGGGAAGAGGCAGGTCACGATGCGGTACAGGGTGGCGTGCATACGCTCCGGCAGGAAGGCGCGGCACGCCAGGCGCAGGGCCAGTGCTGGGGTGCTGCCATCCTTGAAGGAGGCCTGGCGGTGGGGCTGCAGGCGGATGGGCTTGAAGGGCAGGACCTGCAGGCACGGAGGGCCCCCCAGGCTGCATGGAGGAGGAGAGGAGTGCAGAGATTTGGAGGGTGACTGCGTGGTGCTGTGCTTGGAGGGGGCGCGGGCGGGACTGGGAACGCAGGGGCCAGGCCCCACTGCCGAGCTCGTGGTGCTCCACCATGGGGGCTGCGGCATCCATGGCAGGGATGAGAAACTTCACGAGTCCTTACCGGTAGACAATGTTGAGCTGAGCTCGGCCGTTTGCGATGCTGGACGCGTCAGCCCACAGGGCCGGGCAGGAGATGGTGCCCTACGGAGTGCATGGGTACATACTCCCTCTTTTGAATCTACAGAGCATGCGGATGTGCATCCACGCGATCGGACCATCGCCCCATCCAACTCACATCTTGGACGCTCTTCAGGACTGATCCGGTGTCCAGGATGTAGAATGAGAGGCTTTCGGCGTACGTGGGCTCCCCATTCTCGCCCGAAGGGGGGGGGCAAGACTGGGAGAGGCACAGGAACTCCCGAATGGATGGAGACAGGCAACCTCCAGCTCTTTGCAACAGCCCGATTGTTGCCATGACTTCTCCTCAGGATTCGGGTGAGGGCTATTGATGTCGCGCCTCGGCGTCTGCCTTGTGTTTCATTGCAAGCCGAGCACTGGCCCGGCCGACTCCGCTTGTGTGCGAGGTGAGGCAGCCTCTGCAGCTCGCCAAGCTATAATACAATCAATCAGATGAGACCATGCTACTCATGTGAAGCCGAGATGGCTGCTGCGCTGCGCCATTGCCGCAGTCCCGCTCTGTTGCGGCCCAAGGGGAACATCCTCGGGTCAGCTCAGCTCGGGTTGAAATCCTCCATGGAAGAAAGGGTGGGGTTGGGGAATATCTCTGGTACCACCCCCTCTATAGACCAGCCCATCGTCTCTGCTGTGAGCCGCCGGGGATTGAATCACACCAACAAAGTGACCAAGGGCATCATCATTGCAATCGGGAGGCATGGGTCAGCGTCAGGAGGGAAGGGCGGGGCCCCCCACACCGCTGCCTCCCATCCCCGACCATCACATGAACCCGAAATCTGCCCCTGTCCCGCCGCGCCCAGGGCCTGGCTGCATGATGTCTGGGTGGATGCCCCCCCTCCCCGGGGGCCCCCGTGGCAGGTTGCCGTCTGGGTGGAAGCCTGGCAGGCCGGGCGGGGCGATGGGGTCCCACCTCGCCCCGGGGGGTGGCCTGGGTCCCCCATGCGCCGGGCCCCGCCCCAGCCTGTCGTCGAACAGGGGGTCGCCAGGTCCCACGTGCATGCCCCCGCCCCTGCGCGGCGGGCCCTCCATCAGCGGCAACAGCCCTGTGGGGGCGATGGGGGTGGGTGGGTGAGGTCAGGCTGCAGAGGCCTGGGGTATGGGGGATCGAGCCTGCGGCCGGCCACATGACACAGGGAAACCCCGTGCCGACATGGAAATCTGAGGATACCGGCAGCACACCCTGACCTCCAGCTCCCATACTTCCCCTGCTCCTTCCCCCCCCCCCTCCCCCTCTCGCACCCCTGCTCACCTGGCATGGCCCCTCCCCTGGCCGGCGCCAGGCCCAGGGGGTACCGGTCCCGGTCCCCCACGGCGTACCCGGGGTCACGCAGGCCGCCAGCATCCCGGACATAGGCAGGCTCGGCCTCGCCCCGCCCGCCGCGCGGGCCTCTGGTGGGGTCGTCGTCCCTTCGCCCCGCCGCACCGTGCTGCGCCCCCGGGGCCGGCGCCTCCTGTCCCGAGGCCGACTGCGCCGCGCTTTCCCCCAGGCCAGCAGCGGCCAGGGCGCCGACGAGGCCGGCCAGGTCGGAGTAGCCGGCACTCACGCCCTCGGCGGCACGGGTATATTTGTCCAGGGCCAGGTCCAGTGAGGCCGGTGTGGACCCTGGTTGCTGCCCCCCGTCCTGCCACTGCAGGACCAGGTTACCTCCCAGCACCATCGCCTTGAGATAGAGGTGCGCACCTGTGAGTGGTCCAGGGTGCAAGCGAGCTGGGAGCTTGGGTCGGGAAGGGCAAGACGATGCAGTCCCTCTGGGGAGTCACAGTCGACTGTGTGTGTTGCGCTGTGCGTCCCGCAGCACTCACAGGCAAAATGCCTGGCCGACAGGCAGGCCCTGTCCAGTGCAACATCCACGGTCCCTCTCATCAGGCTCACCTTGCTCATTGACATAAAGGAATGCGTACCGCTCTTCCAGATCTGTCCATCCAGAGAGGGGAGCAGGCTCCCTACCGACGCTGTCAAACTTGCTTCCTGCCCAACCGAAAGCATTATTTTTTAAAGGGGGGAGGGGGGGCAGATTGCATGGCAGGAGGTCTCGTGAGGAACATCACTGGGATACTGTGGAACACAGTGAGCGCAGTATGCAGAGCATGTATGCCAGGGGTCATGGCGCAGGAAGGGGGCCTTTCCCAGTCTCCCATGCCACTGCACCGTATCCACGACTCACCAGGACCAGCTTCTTGATCGGCTTCCGCTCCCGTGGACACCAGTGTGTAGCCTCTGGACTCCAGGTATGCGTGCACCGCAAAGGCCAGCCGATCGTGCCGATTCCTGGGTGGGGGATATGAGTCAGCCAACATGGGGCTCAGACTGCACACTGGGGCACGATACGAAACAACATCTACACCGTGTCCTCCATGCTGACACACCACAGCTTCGCCCCACCTGAATGTGGGCGCATGGGCCCGAATCACAGCCAATGTCGCTGCTGCCATAATGTGATCCAGACCCTCTCCGCCCAGATGCCGAGCGGATCGTGGGCGCTGAATAGATTCCTGTTTCGATCGCTGTTTAGGTCCTTTCCTTTTCGTCTCGAATGCCCGTCTCGACACAGGCTGCGTTGGGCTTTCGGATCCCTTTTGCTCCCTCCGTCACCATCCTGCGCGCGGGCAAGTTGCTTGACCCTGGGCTGGTACCAGGGTTGGAGGGTATTACCGCGTCAGACCATTCCCAGCCCGGATTCAATTCAAAGTCTGGGCCACCACCCTCCGCCGCTCTGTCTGATCACTCCACATTCGTGCATACACGACGTTCAAGTCCTGATCCAGGCGTGTCTCGGGACAAGGTGTGCTTGAGTTTGAATCTCAAGGACCCACTCCAGCACAGCTGCTGGTTGACCCCGCCCTCGCAACTCCCTACCATGTCTGCTGGTAGGTCCAGGGATCTTTGCCATGCACACAGGACCCCGTTTGTGGGGGTCCCCGGTGCATGCTGTCGCTGTGCAGGCGCCGGTGTGGGGCCTGGGCCCCGCGGGAGCTCAACTCCTCCCTATATGCCTGCCGCCCCTCCCACCCACCGCGACCTAGCCCCCTTTATAGAGGAAGGCGAAGTCAGCGCCATCGTGTGCGATAATGGATCCGGCATGGTAAAGGCCGGCTTCGCCGGCGACGACGCCCCGCGATCAGTGTTCCCCTCCATCGTCGGTCGCCCCCGGCACCAGGGGGTCATGGTGCGTGCGGCGGGCGATCACATCCATGCCTGGATCTGGTGGAGGGGGGAAGGCGCCACGCATCTGCTTGCGTGCCGTGTGGTCTGGCATTCCCGGGCGGATGTTGCGCGGAGCGGCTCCAGTGCTGGCTCCCCAAACCCCTAGCCCAACAGGGAGGGGGCCTGCTCGTGGCATGATCCTGGCCATGGCCGCGCCACTGCTGAGCCCCCCCACCCTCTTCACTCGGCGCCCCCGTGCAGGTCGGCATGGGCCAGAAGGACGCATACGTCGGCGACGAGGCGCAGTCCAAGCGTGGCATCCTGACCCTGAAGTACCCCATCGAGCACGGGATCGTGACCAACTGGGACGACATGGAGAAGATCTGGCACCACACCTTCTACAACGAGCTGCGCGTGGCCCCCGAGGAGCACCCTGTGCTGCTAACGGAGGCGCCGCTGAACCCCAAGGCCAACCGCGAGAAGATGACGCAGATCATGTTTGAGGTGTTCAACGTCCCGGCCATGTACGTCGCCATCCAGGCGGTGCTGTCCCTGTACGCCTCAGGCCGCACCACCGGCATCGTGCTGGACTCCGGCGACGGCGTGTCCCACACCGTGCCCATCTACGAGGGCTACGCGCTGCCCCACGCCATTCAGCGTCTGGACCTGGCCGGCCGCGACCTCACCGACTACATGATGAAGATCCTGACCGAGCGCGGGTACAGCTTCACCACCACCGCCGGTCAGTGCGTGGGGTGTGGTCTTGCATCGGTTGAGGGTGACGGGGGCCCCCCTATAACCTGAGGCCTGGCAGGGCCTGGGTGCGCTGTGCTTCCGGTCGCCAGTAAGGTCTGAGCGTACGCGTCTGATCGCGGCCGCCCTGGCAATCCATGACCTCCCCCGGTCTTTGGGTCTCCAGCTCGACCCTCCACACTCCACCCCACCCCCCTGACCCCCTCCCTTGCAACAACAGAGCGCGAGATTGTGCGCGACATCAAGGAGAAGCTGGGCTACGTGGCGCTGGACTACGAGCAGGAGCTGGCCACGGCGGCAGGCTCCTCCACGCTGGAGAAGACGTACGAGCTGCCCGACGGCCAGGTCATCACCCTGGGTTCCGAGCGCTTCCGCTGCCCGGAGGTGGTGTTCCAGCCGGGCATGATTGGCGTGGAGGGCCCCGGAATCCACGAGACCACCTTCAACTCGGTGATGAAGTGCGACGTGGACATCCGTAAGGACCTGTACGGCAACATTGTCATGAGCGGCGGCACCACCATGTTCCCAGGCATCGCGGATCGCATGTCGCGCGAAATCACCGCGTTGGCCCCCTCCAGCATGAAGATCAAGGTGGTGGCGCCCCCGGAGCGCAAGTACAGCGTCTGGATTGGCGGCTCCATCCTGTCCTCCCTGTCCACCTTCCAGCAGATGTGGATCGCCAAGAGCGGTGAGTGGGCAGGAAGAGGGAGTTGTAAGAAAAGGGGGGGGGGGGGGTATCTGGGGTATCTG